ATAAGAAAAAGTAAACAAATGAACAACAAAAACAATAAAACAGGACTAAAACCAAAAAAATACCTCTTGACCCCACATCCCTTCCCAAGTGACACCTTCCTTTGTTCTTCCCTTTGTGGCCATGCTGAAAGGAGCTGTCTGCACATGCACCATCTCCAGGTCTCTCCTCTGACTCATCTCTCAACCCACTGCAGTGGCTTCTGCCTTGGCCACCTCACTGAAGTTGCTTGCTCTAAGCACCCTGGTTCATTACAATGTCCCAGCTTCCCTTTGTCCTTTCTGGCTGCTCCTTCTCAATCCTTGCCACCCCATTACTCACAGCTGGATCTGAAGCTTTCTTCTCACTCTATCTTCCCCTGAAGACCTTATCCACCTCTGTGACTTCAGGGACCACCCCGATGCCTATGACACCCAGACCTCCCTGGAAACTCCAGTCCTGATGTGCCACCACCTCTCCACGTGGTGTCTCCATGGAACTACTGGGCGTATCCCATACTCGCTCCTCTTCTGTCAGGGTTCAGAGTCTCAGCAAACGGCACTTGGCCCATGTGGTCCACAGGCCAGAGCCGCCTGGCCTCTCTCTAACAAAGCAATCCACAAATCCCCATCCCCTCCTCCTCCACGCAGTCCTAGATTGTACCTCCACAATGTGACAGAGGAGGAGATCCATAAATATTTGATCAGATGACTGATAGCGGTGAGAACAGTCGGCAGGACACTTTCACAAACACCATCTTCCCCCCAGCCCTATAAGGTAAGTCTAATTACTGCCACTCTGCAGATGAGGAAACTGATGTCCAGAGGGATGAACAGTTTTGTTTGGGGTGGGATAGCAGGGCCAGTGAATATGTGGAGGAGCTGGGACTGGGATTCACATCGGACTCCCCATCCTGGGCCACAGCAATGCTCAGAGACCCTGGTGTTGCGTCCAGCATGGCAGACATCTGCTGACACCCAACCCCAAGCAGCCCTCCTTGACACATTCACAATGAGGCTCTTGGGGGACTCTCAGGAGCTGGGACCCCAGGTTTGAGGCCTGGATTCACAGCCACACATAGCTCATCCTTTCTTAGCTGACACCACTAAGATGGGAATATGAGTAAGATTTCTGAGATGTGGAAGGAGGGCCCTCGTTCCTGGGCAGGGCAGAAGCGGGCAGTGGCCTCGGCAAACAAACCCCCCATTTGCCCCCTTTGGGCAGGCTGTATGTGTTGGTGCCAGATCCTCCACTGTTGGCCAGGGGTGCTCACTCCCTGACCCCAGCCCAGGGCAGCCCTCTGCCAGAATCTGAGGGAGTGCTCTAAGCCCCCACTGGAAAGGGATGTGTGGGTCATTCTTAGTCTCCCTGAGCAGTCTGAGGTTCCCCCAAACTAGTAAGGGAGGAGAGATGGTCTTGGGGCCCCAGCCACTGGAGGGGGGAGTGAAGACCCTCAGCAAAGGGCTGGGCAAGCCAGCTGTTGGTCCTCAGGGCTGGGGTCAACTGAGGAAGGCCGACATTGGGTCCCAATTCTCCAAGACTGGGGCCCAGAGATAACACAGGCTTTTCTTACCAGGTGGCCCTGAGGATGGTTGACAGGAACCCCCGGAGGGCTGAAGGAGTCCCAGGCAGGGCTGGGCGAGTGGCTGCCACCTGCCTGCCTCTGTGTGCCCCGCGGCCTGCCAGCGGCTGTTGGAGACTGGGGCATGTTGAGGGAGCAGAGCGTTCACAGTCCCCAACCCAGTAGGGTGGGAACAGGCGATCCCAGAGCCTGGACCAGCCCCTGGCTCATGGGGAGAGGCAAGGCGTTTCAGGGGTGCAGGCTTGTGTGGGGTGGGCTTACCGCATAGTCATTGAGCCCGCCGGCTGTTGGGGTCTGTGGGGGCAGGCTGGGAGAATGAAGGCCTGGATTAGGGTTGGGGGTAAGGGTGGGAATAGGGACATGGGGGTGGGGTGGGAAAGGGATGGTAGAATACGGACCTTGAAGGGTGGGGCTGAGAACACGACCTTGGGTTAGGAGTCTATAAGGTTGGGGTCGTGGGGGCTGGACGGGGGGCTCTGGGGCCAAGCCGGAAGCACGGAGCTCAAAGGACCAGGGTCCGGCTTTGGGGTCAGCGAGGTTGGAGCTGAGAGGATGGGACTGTGGGGTCCAGGGCTTGGAGAACCCCAGCCCCTGGGGCAGGGTCTAGGAGAGCAGAGCAAGTGGGGACCAGGTCTGGTATACGAGGGGGCGGGCCCTAGAGGAAGAGGGTCTCGAGGGCAGGATCCGAGGCCGGAGAATTGTGAGAGGCGTGTCCAGGATGACGAAGAACTTGGGGGCTGGGCCGTGAGGAAAGGGGGGATATAGACGTCTGTGCCGGGCGAGGTGCAGGGGGCGAAAGGAGGCCGAGTGGAAGGGGCTATGAAGAAGTGGGTTTGGGGGGCTGGGTCTGGGGCTGAAGGATTATGGGGAGCCGGTCTGTAAGACGGGCGACTGCAGGGTCTGGTCGGGAAGATGGGTGTCTTGGGGGTTCGGTGGGCAGACCTGGAAAACAGGGGATCATGGTGGGGGCAGGGGCCGAAAGGACAGAGGACAGTGAGGAACTGGCCCTCAGGAGGGGTCGGAAAGGCGGGCTGGGGGCTCGTGGGGCAGTGCCGGGGGCCGAGGGGAAGGGCTAGCAGGGTCTCGGGGGCGGGGTCTCGCGCAGGAGGCGGGAAGAGCAGGGTCTCGGGGGCGGGGTCTCGCGCTGGAGGCGGGAAGAGCAGGGTCTAGGGGCCGGGGCCGCGCGCGGGG